CAGTGGTCCCCCTCCTCAGCCTCCTCCTCCTCCTCTTCCTCCTCCTCCTCCTCCTCCACCTCCTCATCATAACCACCATTATCACCAGCCTCATCGGCATCCTCACCATCATCGTCCACATCGGCATCCTCGTCATCATCAGCAGCAGCAGCAGCTGCATCTTCATCAGCATCCTCGTCGTCGTCCTCCTCTCCTCCTCCTTATCCTCACCATCAGCATCAGCACCACCATCAGCATCACCATCATCACATATCGCCATCAACAGCATCATCACCATCATCATGCTCAGCAACATCGTCACCATATGTATTATCATTACCCCTGCAATTCATCCTCGCCCTCCTTCGTTTCTTCGTCCTCGTCCTCCTCCTCCTCTTCCTCCTCTTTCTCTTCCTCCTCCTCCTCCTCCACCTCCTCATCCTTCTCATTATTATCCTCATCCTCCTCCTCCTCTTCCTCCTCCTCTCCTTCTCCTCCTCTTCCTCCTCCTCCTCCTCACTCCTCCTGCTTTCCCGCATCCTTCGCATACTCTGCCTCCTCATCCTCATCTTCCGTCTCCCCCATCCGCCTCCTCCGCCTCCTCCGCCTCCGCCTCCTCCTCCTCTTCCTCCTCCTCACTCCTCCTCCTCCTCGTCCTGAGTCCTCCTCCTCCTCCTAAGTCCTCCTCCTCGTCCTCCTCCTCCTCCTCCTCTGCCTTCCGTCCTCCTCGTCGTCGTCCTCCTCCTCCGCCTGCACGATGGCTGCGACCATCACGCCTCACTGCCACCGCCACTGTGCCTCCAAGACGCACTCTAGGGAGGTGCAAGCTGGGCTGCCCTCCCCTGTCGATGAACAGGCGCTGGCATCCGTGTACCAGCTCACCTCTGGCCTGCTGACATGGCCCCGAGTCGGTCACAGCCATTGGAGGCGCGGCAAGCCCACATTAACACCAATCACCTCTGCTCCCGTCCTCCCCCCTCCTTTACCCCCTCGCTCCTTCAACGCGCTTGTTTGGGACCCTTCGCGCGGTGGCTGCGGCCAACACGCCTCACTGCACGGCCACTGTGCCTCCACGAGAGACTCTGGAGAGGTGCGAACTGGACTGCCCACCTCTATCGATGAACAAGCGTTGGCATCCGTGTACCAGCTCACCCCGTGGCCTGCTTATGTGGCCCCGAGGCGGTCGCAGCCGTCGCAGGCGCGGCAAGCCCACATGAATACCAATCATTTCTCATCCCGTCTTCCCCCTCTCCCTTCCCCCTTACATCCTCCCACCGCACCTGCTTGTGACGCTTCGCGCGATGGCTGCGGCCAGCCCGCCGCACTGCACCGCCACTGCACCTCTACGGGGCTACCTGGGAGGTGCCAGCTGGGCTGCGTAGGTGGCCCCGAGTCGGTCACTTCCTCTGCATGCGCTGCAAACTCACACTAACAGCAATCACACATGTTGTCCTCCCCTTTCCGTCCCCCCTTCCTCCTCTCACGCACTGACTACCTACCAGACCACCCCAACCCAACCCGAAGACCCGAACTTCGGGTTGGGGGGGGGTAAGGGTTCCACATGTCTTTTTTCGATGTTTCCCGACCCCCCCCCCACTGGAAATCGAAGGTAAATCTGAGCCTTCGGGTTGGGTTGGGGTGGTTTGGCGGGTGGTGACGCACTGGCTGGTGACATTTCGCGCCATGGCTGCGGCCAGCACGACTGACTGCCACCGCCACTGTGCCTCCACGAGGCACCCTCGGGAGGTGCGAACTGGACTGCCCACCCCTGTCGATGAACAGGCGTTGGCATCCGTGTGCCCAGGTGACCCAGAATCGGTCCCAGCCGTTGCAGGAGAAGCAGCCATAACCCAACAATGCACGAGGTCATTGGAGCAAGCGCACCGGAGGATTCATTAATCCAGGGCGCGCCGCACAGCAGAGGAATTCTTCATCCAGGGCGCGCCGCACACCAGAGGATACACTAATCATGCGCGCGCCCGAAAGTGAAGGTGGAGGTCTGGTCAAAATGCGAACATACACCACCACCGTAGCACCATTGCGACATTCGTGCAATTCCGTTGCGTCTTACCTTGTGGTGCGATGTTTCCCTCCAGGCTGACGTCAAAGAGCTCCGTGTCCACCAGGGCGGAAATGCGGGTGGCCGTTCCGATCCAGCGTCGCCTACTTGCTCAAAGCGCCGCACTGGGCAATACTTGTCACGGGTGACTGTCCCACCCCCACCCTCTCTCGCATGGGATGGGCGGCCGGGAGCCGCCAGCCCGCACTGTTGGACAACCTTTGCCACCGGGTCCAGCAACCCAGCCAGTGGCCAGAAACCGCTCGCGTCAGGCCATGATGCTGCGTGGCCACTTCGTTCCGTTGGGCCACCGTGCCCTCCAGGGTGGTGACACTAGGAAACTGGGCCCTTCCACGGGGTGAATGTTCCCCAGAGCTATACTACTTCAAGTCCTCCTCATCCTCCTCTCCCTCGTCCTTCTCGTACGTACTCCTCCTCGTCTTCCTCCTATTTCTCCTCAACCCTCCCTTTCTCCTCAACCCTTGTCCTCCAGCTCTGCCATCGGCCACCGTCCCTCGACGACTCGCCTGCTTGTCCAAGTCGGCGACTACGGTCATGAGCATCAGACTGGTAGCGCAGAGCAGCACAATGAACGGCCCGATCGTTAAGCGATGGTAGAAATCGATGAGGAAGTCGCACCTCGAGGAGAACGAAGAGGGGAAGAGAGAATGAGGAGGAGAGGGGAACGAAACAAGGAGGAAGGGGGAGAAGAGGATGACTCCTCGTCCTCACCATCGCCACTACCATCATCACCCCCATCGTCATCATCACCACCATCATCATCATCAACAACATCAACATCAGCATCATCACCACCACCATCATCATGATCATTATCACCGAGGCGAATCGAATCGAATAGCTCCACGGGAGGCGGCCTCTACACACAGCAGCACGGCGCCTGAATCGGGCCTGCATAGCATGCTGCACACGTGAGCATTGGTCTCGGAGCATCGCGGGTCCGATATGGGAAACAACTATCGAGGCCGCATGGCCTCTCGGGCGCCAGGCCCGCGCTGCCTCCAGCAAGGGCGGCCCGCCGAGAAGGCGCGCAGCCAGGCGGGTGCCCCGCGTCGGAGGATCGTCGCGGTCGCCCTAGCAAGACGAACAGACTAATTATCCCAGTGCGACCCCACCTAGGAGTTGGAGCCTCTAGGAAAGCAGCATCTACATCTACACCGACAGCCACATTAACATCTACACCTGCATCTACATCTACATCAACATCAACAGCGAGACTCACATTTACATCTACATCTACACCTACATCTACGCCTACATCTACATCTACATCTACATCTACACCTACACCCACATCTACACCTACACCTACATCTACATATACATCTACAGTTTCGCATTGGTTTTGGTTTTGCTGTGCATTGCCTTGCCTTTGTTTTTGCTGTTGCTTTTGCTGTTGCTTTTGCTTTGCTGTTGTTGTTGCTTTTGCTTGATTTTGTTGTTGCTTTGCCTGCGCACAGACACACACACACGCATGTTTTCGCATTCGCTCACCGGGTGTGCTTGGGAATGCTCCGTATCCTGTCTACACCGCACGACTTGGCATTGAGGAAGGTTGTGCAACAGTTGCTACACCGAACGTTCCTACGAACTTGTACAGCAGCAGCAACTCCCAGATCGGTGCATCATCGGCGCTGGAATATGCGTTTTCACCAGAATGGTTGTTGCTTGTGCTTTGTTTTGCTGTTGCTGCTGTTGCTTTGCCGTTGCTTCGCTGCTATGCTATGCTATGCTATGATATGCTATGCTATGCTATGCTATGCTGCGCTGTGCTATGCTATGCTATGGTATGCTTTGCTATGCTGCGCTATGCTGCGCTATGCTATGCTAGGGTACGCTCGGCTGCGCTGTGTTATGTTAGGCTATGCTATGATATGCTATGCTATGCTGCGCTATGCTATGCTATGAGATGCTGCGCTATGCTCTGATATGCTATGCTATGAAATGCTATGCTATGCTAGGCTATGCTATGATATGATGTGCTGCGCTATGATATGCTATACTATGATATGATATGCTGCGCTATGCTATGCCATGCTATGCTGCGCTATGCTATGCTATGCTGCGCTATGATGCGCTATGCTACGCTAAAGCTAAGCCAAGCTAAGCTAAGTTAAACTAGGCTAAGCTAAGATGATATAAGCAACGCTAAGCTAAGGGAACGTAATTGGGGGAACCGCGGGGCGGGTACCGGGGGAACCGCCCGGGGCGAACCCCACTGCCCGGCCCCTTTAAGATAGAGAGTAAGAACCCTTCTAGGCAGAGCCTAGGTAGGGTACATATATTCAGAGTCTTCCGAGCCTTCAGGACTCGTTTCAGAACAATCATCATGTGAGCCTTCAGAGCTCGCTTCAGAGAACCTTTCTGCCGCGATCGAGCTCGACGTTTTGTGCATGGCAAGGACCCTCTCCTCCTCGTCGAGCGGGAAAATCTGCAGCGCCGCCCACGTATCCACTACCACGTCGACCTGGTCCGCTAGAGCATCCACGAGCCAATCCCGCGAGACAGCATACCCTGCCCTGACCCGCACCTGCACGAGGTCGAACACAAGGTCGGCAGCGGCCCCCCGAATGTTCGCAGCCGCCGGCTTCGGCACGGATACCAGAATCACCTGCTCCTCGAACTCCATTCTGAGGATGATCGGCATCCAGCCCTTCTCGAAGATCGGCTCCCCGAACGTCCACGGCTTCTCGAAGGTCCGCAGCTCCGTCCCGTCCGTCAGCTGCACCAGCCTCAGCGCGAACCGCAACTTGAAGGACCTCGCCCTCCAAACCTCCCCCATCACTCCTCCTCCTCCTCCTCCTCCTCCTCCTCCTCCTCCTTCTCCTCCCCTCCTCCTCCTCCTCCTCCTCCTCCTCCTGAAGGACCTCGCCCTCCAAACCTCTACGAAGATCAGCACCCTGGCGGTGCCCCTCGCTGGCCTCGCGGGCCCCCGATGCCGTCAAGACTCCCTCCCGCTCTCGGGCCTCGCCTCGGCGCAGCCGTCCGCGGCTCCCGCGCGCGCGCGAGAATCAGCTGCTCCTCGACCGTCACTCTGCATATCGGCATCCAGCTCACCATGAAGATCGGCTCTCCACCCACGTCCGCGGCTCCCCGGAGGTCCGCAGCTCCGTCCCCTCCCTCAGCTGCTCCAGCCTCAGCGCGAGCATCAGCGGCGCCCGTAACGTCATCTTGCAGATCGTCGGCATCCAGACGTCCACGAACATCATCATCATCATGGCGGTACCCCTCTCTGTCCTCGTCCGCGGACCAACACATCAGCAGCAGCGTGTCCGTATTGAGCGTCCCCCCCCTCGTGTAGCCCCTTCTCCTCGCCGACCTCTGCGATCTCCTGCCACTTGGTGCCGCCAGCGTCCTCGATCGGGCCCGCGTTCCTCTCCGAACCCTTCTGGAAGTCCGCGCCTTCGAAGCCGTCGAACTCCATCCCGTCCCCAGATTCCGACTCGTGGTAACTCAGCAGCTCCCTGTCGCTGGACGGAAGGTTGCCGCGTGGGTCGCCTTCCTCGCTGTCCTGCCTCGGCCCCTCGCTGGCCACGTCCTCGGACTTGCCTGAGAACTCGCAGATGCACTCCGCCCGCGCCGTGTGTAGCCAGAGTCTCCTGTCCGCACGCCAGCACGCCGCGGAACGCGGAAGAGGAGGAGGAGGAGGAGGAGGAGGAGGAGAAGGGAGGAGGAGGAGAAGGGAGGAGGAGGAGGAGGAGGGAGGGTGCATCAGCCTGTCCGGAGCGGGCACTCGCAACCACGGGAGCCGGCGACGGCGCCGCGGCGGCCAGGTCGTGCACGTCGCTCCCAGCAGCTGCCTTCGGCGACGCGCATGGCACATGACTGTACGTGTCCTCGACCCCGCCCGATTCCTGGAATATTTCGAACGCGCGGAGGCCATCGTCATCATCATCATCATCATCATCATCATCATCATCATCATCATCATCATCATCATCATCATCATCATCATCATCATCATCATCATCATCATCACCATCATCATCATCATCATCATCATCATCACCACCACCATCATCCTCCTCCTCCTCATCCTGCCCCACTTCTATTTCCCCTTCTCCACCTTCTCCTCCTCCTCCGCCGCCGCCGACGACGACGACGAAGACGACGACGACGACGACGTTGCGTTGCGTTGCGTTGCGTTGCGTAGGCGTCATACAGGGGTGCCTCCTGGGCCCGACGCCGCTCACAGAAACTTAAAGGGTAGCAGCGTCGAGAATTATCTTAAAGATTTCCGCCATTCAAGCCACGTCTTCTGTCCCTCTCTCCAAGACAGCCCTGAGACGGGCTTCAGAAGCCAGTGGCCCCCATAAAACTTATAGAAGTCACGCTCCCAACGCCAGATCCCGACTGTACGGTGATGCAACTGGGAGCCCTGCCACCTAGTCACTTCTATCATCCATGCCCTATCGTGATACCGAAGGACGCGGTACGCGATCCTCTCAGGACAGGCTCTACCCAAAGACTGCAAGAAACCTCCCCAGTTGTGCTGCATCCTTATGCAGGTCTGGGGCCACGATTCTACATTGTATCTAGCTCTGACGTCAGCAACGCAATGCATGGCGGATTTCATATATTCAGCTGCGGATTCTCCGCGTGGCGGACGGATCATACGTCTAAGCATGGTATTGTGACATTTAGAGATCCTACTCATGGCAGAGACAGTAATATGTAGACTCCATATGCAATAGGTCAGGGCTGGGCGAACACAACGGTCCAGGGCCTTCAATCTTTTCTGAAGGCTTACCTTTCGGTTGGTCAGCATTGCACGGTGAACGGCCCAAGTGCGCCACGCGCGCTGAATTCTATTGCAGACCTCGTGTGTGCAGCTGCGATCGAAGGCAACAAAAGCCCCGAGCACTTTCAAGCCTTCGGCTCTGGCTCTGCAGGGGATGCACGCGCCACGGACGCGAAGCGTGCCGATATGTGACGGATACGTGTGGCACCACTCCATTTCCTGCACAGGGACCTCTAGACCACTACGCTCAAGGATTCGAAGCCAAGCTTCAGTCATCATCGCGGCCATCGAGACCGATCTCGCTAAGATCCAAAAATTATCGGCGAAACTCAAGACACCTAAAACCTCATCCTCCTCTCCAGGGGTGGTCAAACAAAGACCCCAGCCATTTTTACGGCAGAGATCGTGGAAAGCGAAAAGACACTGGTCGAGAAAAACATTGCTGAGGTCGGGCGCCGCAGGGCCCCCCTGGATGAGAGACTTCCCACGCCGAATCTGGTCCGTGAGGGCATTCCCAGGGAGGCGAACTCTGGCCTGAGAGCGGCGAGTTTCACTGATCCAAAACGAGATACTGTCGAGGCGACGGGCCAGAGCGGCGTGCTGAATAAAATCATAAAAACTTTCTAATGTCTCCGCCCACGACGACGAGTGGGGGGTCCTTTTATACTCGCAGAACTTCTCAACTAAGTGGCGCAAGCTATATATGACTTCGTGGGCCTGATAACCTCTACGAAAAGCGAACTGGCTTTCGCTGCGACACGATTCGATCACTCCTCGCTGCGTTTCCATCACCATCATGCTCAGTATCTTCTGCAACACCGAAATCAGGGCTATTGGGCGAAACTGACTGATCTTTCGGGCATCTGGCACTTTTCGGATGAGCTGAACCACGTGGCCACTCCAGGCCGTGTCGAAATATTCCGAGGTGTGATTCCTGAGCCGCAGTCTGAAGGCCTGCAGCAGGTGCTCTAAGACGTCCGTCTCTAGCCCCTGGAGCATTTCGCCCACGATCATGTCAGTCTCGTCGCAGGACTTGCATTTCTTGAGGCGGCCGGTGCACATGCGGAGAAGCGGGAGGCTCAAAGGCACGGACTGTTGTTGCTCCTCGGCTGACCACTGCTGGTGGATCCAATCTGGCAGCTGTCGGTCACTGGTCGCGTCCTGGAACAGTTGTGTAGAAAGTATGAGCCTCCTGCAGTCGCTCGGCACTGGTGGTAGCCTGGCCGCCATCCATCTTGTCAAGGCAGTGCACTGGGCGCCCCGTCTTGCAGGCCTTCTCGGCCCGACCTCGCTCGCACAGACGGGACAGATGCCCAGTGGAACATCGGTCTCTCACAGCCCGCTTCAGCTTGCAGACCGCGGGCCCCATGAGGTGTCTCACTCTCGGGCCCTCCTCCGCGGCTCGCGCGCGCTCCAAGGCCTGCAGCTGGAGCAGCTGGGCGTCGCCTGGCGGCGGCCGCCACCGGCCTCGGCGTGGGACGTGGCCAGCCTTCGCGGCGGCCGCGCAAATGGCGGCTGACAGGAGGCCCAGCGAGGCGACGCCCTGGCGGGTGCTGGAGGCAGTCGCCGCAGGCGCTGTCAGGTGGAGACCCAGCGAGGCACCCGCGTCCTCACTGAGGATGTCGGCCTGGCGCCGCTTCCGCTCCGCACGGCAGGCTGCGCGGTGGGCAGCACAGGTGTCCTGGAAGCCAGCAGAGTCCCAGTCAGGTGTCGGATATGGCCGTCTCCAGTGGCTGCCGCTGTAACGCTGGTCATTGCCCTTCTTAGCGAGGTAGTCTGCCTGCTCGTTGCCCGTGTTCCCGTTGTGGCTCTTCACCCCTCTGATGATCATGTCATAAGCGGTCTGGCAGCGCTGCCACAGGTGGGTGGCCAGGGCCGCAAGCTCAAAGTTCTCCTTCGTCTGGAAGACACCCTGCAGCAGGTTGCGCACGTACGTGGAGTCGGTGCTGACGATGATGCGGGTGTCGTCCCGTGCTAGTGGCTGAGCGAGTAAACGCTGTCCGAGTAGCCAGAGCAGCGCCTCAACGATGGCCGTCAGCTCACCCGTGTTCGCCGATAAACATGTCGCGCCCACATATCGAGGGTCCTGCACGTCAGTGGTGACCTGACCACAGGCCTCCATAAGACTGGTATCCTGGTCATTCGGCTCGGCTACGTGATAGAGTGCGAAACCCCAGCCAGCCGCATGGCACCGATGACGTCGCTGTCGATCTCGATCACGCCGAGCAGAGCCGTCAGTAAAGATCCCCATAGCGTTCGTCATGTCCCCCTCAGTGTACATCGCGGTCTCTGGCGGGGTGTAGCTGATCTCCAGGGACGTGCAGATGGTGGAGTTGAACAGCTCGGGGTCCTCGACCTGCCAGCCCACGGGCTTCCGTGGCGGTCGCTGAACGGTCTCCATCGGTGTCAGCTCGGTGTGGCCATCGATCGTGGGAACGCCTTGGCCAGCGTGGCAGCGCAGGAGGAGCGGCAGGTGGTCGCTCGAAGAGGCGTCGGTGAAGCGGGCCTGGCAGTGCGTCCGCGGCAACCAGTCGCGGTGGATCAGCATGAAGTCGATCTGCCTGGGCTCCTTGCGATTGTCAAAGAAACAGGTGGCCTGGCCCCACTGTCCACGGGAATAGGTATTAGCAGCTATCAGATCGAACTCGGTCATAAGGTCGCGAAGCATCTCGCCTCGCCAGGTCATCTCGGAAGTAGAGAAAGGGCCCACAGTGTCTCCGCCAGGCATCCCTAGGCCGTCCTGGGCATCGATGCTGACAATGGTGTGGCAATCAATCGGCATGGTAATCAAGCATTCTCGTAACTGCTGGACGGTCTCAGCGTACTCACATCGAACGATATGCGAAAACAGGTGGCTAGTGATAGCCCGCACTCGACCCCAGATAGGCAACTGTAAGTCTTGGGCCATGGTGCGACCGTGGAACTGCGGCTCGCCAATGACGGAGGGCGCCAGTGAATTGGCCACCGCTATCGCACACCTCTGCCAAGCCCCCGATGGAGGCGACACGTGCACAACATAGCCGTCATAAGTCTGCTGGGCTCCACCAGCAACGCACCATTCTTGAAAAAGGATCAGACTAGCATCGAATTCGTCGGTCAGCGACTCGAGCACGGCACGGCGCCGCTTCGCAAGGACACCTCTCGCATTCCACCCAAGAACTGTGAGGTCCCTGATGTCCTTAACGTAGCGCCTGCCCCGTACTCGAAATCACTGGAGCCTCGGAGGGTGGTTGATCTCGCTCAGCCGCTCGTGCAGCTTGAGATCCTTCAGCTCCTGGTCCAAAGCAGCCGCTGCCAGGGCGTCGGTGCTGACCTCGAGCATGTCTGACGTCCTGGAGCGCTGCAGCAGGCGAACTGGCCTCTCCGTACTGTTCTTGCGGAAGACCACCTGTCCGCGGTCCCAGTCGCCGTCGAAAGTCCGCTGCTTCGACTCCTCCGTGCACAACCCCGACTGGATGCCGAACTCGCGCAGGATCCTCACCGCGCAGCTGGCCCGCCGCGAGAGCTCCACCTCGTGGGGCTCCTGGTCAACCTTGTGCCACAGCTTGTCGTTGCGCGCTCCAAGGCATGGTATCTTCTGGCCCTTCCAGCGCTTCATGAAACCCCACATCTTTTGATTGTTCGCGAAGACCACTTTGGCCTGGTCGCAGAACCTCCCCACCCCGTAGATCTCCGTGATCCCTTGCGCCTCTAGGGAGATCGTCCTGGCGAGCTCCGTACGCAAGTGCTTCTCAACCTCATCCTTATCCCACGTGCCTGGGAAGCCCGCGACGAACACCATGCGCTTGCAGTTCTTCCCTCCTCGCGGCCGTGCCGTCGGCGGTGGCATCCCGCCTGCACGCTGCTGATCCAGGTACGCACCCCACGGATCAGGCTGGCCGCTCACGTGGGAGGCAGATCCCAAGCCCGCTCTCGGTCCGACCGAACTCGCAGAAGAGCGGCCCGCCTCGAGAGCCTCCAGTCTGACCTCCTGCGCCCTCAGTCTGGCCTGCACCGCGGAGATGTCGCGGCTGCTAGCCTCTGAAGTGCGCTGCAGGGCGTCGACACGAGTCTGCAGTCCGTCCAACTTTACCCCCATCGACTGGTTGAGGGCCCCGATGATATACTGCGCCAGCCCTAGCTGTGCTGGGTCCGTAGGAGGGCTCGGGGCGGCCTGCGGCACGACGGCCTGGGCGGGCACAGCACGCTGGACCTCGACGGGGACGATGTCATCGTCAGTGTCCCGATCCTCCATCGCGACCTCACCTGTGGTCAGTCCCGTCTTGCGCCGCCGATCTCGCTCCCAGGCCTGGCCAGGTGCGTCGGCGACCGCGCCAGCAGGCAGCACGGGCGGCGGGGCATTCACGAAAGCCATCCAGGATCGCTGCAGAATGCGCGCGAGGATGTCTCAAACTCGAGAGTGGCCAGAAACTCCTGTCTCAGATCCAGGCGGGGCCGCCTGGACGGACGTGCGATCTCCAGAGCTGCCTGGGTGCCGTCTTGAGCCAAAATGACGACGACGACGACGACGACGACGACGACGACGACGACGACGACAACAGCAAGGACGACGACGCTCTTGGTCCGTCGGGGCGCCGGTCAGCGTAGATGTCGGTGGCGGCGCAGTACGCGACCGCTACTGCCAAGGTGTCACTTGCCGCCTCGTAGGCCTTCGATGAGGGACGACGACGAAGAAAAAGAAGAAGACGACAACACGGGGTTGAGGGCGACCACGACACGACCGCGAACGGAGGCGGAGGGCAACCACGACCACCACCCTACGGGGGAGGAGGAGAAGGCGGAGGAGAAGGACGACCACGACACCGACCATGCAGAAGACCGCAAGCAGGACGCCGACAACAAGGAGAACGACAAAGGCGAAGGCGACATCAACGACGAGGAAGAAGAGGAAGGAGATGACGACAACGACAAGGTGAACGAAGGCGGCGACAACGACGACGATAAGCAAGACGATGATGAGGAGCAGGACGAGGGCGAGGACGACGATGGCGAAAAGGATGAAGATTTGGAGGGACGCTGGAGGAAGAGGAGAGGAGGAGAACCAGTGTAAACCCAAGACTCGTCAACGATGTTGGAACAAATTTGTCCTCCAAGCTCCCTCTTTGTAGGCCCCTACAAAGATTCAGTTTCACCTAGGGAAGTGCCCCAATGCGCGCGGGGCGAAAACCACATGCTTTAAAAACGAGCCGCCCTCAATCCGTTAAGCCCTGGCACTTGTTTGAAACGAATGTGCGCGGCGCCAAGGCACGAGACACAGTTTGAAAACGACCTGCCATCAATCCGTGAAGCTCTTGCAATTGTTTAAGACGAATGCACGCGGTGCGCTAAGACGAGAGCCACAATTTGAAAACTACCTGCCTTCAATCAGTGAAGACATCGCAATGTTTAACGGCGAACGTGCGCGGCGCTCAAGCGAGAGCCACATTTGAAAGATCACCCGCCTCTCCCATCTGTGAAGCTGATGCCAATCTAAAGCTTCAGGATCATGAGTAGTAAGGAAGTCCCAGGCGAAGGGCCCAGCCCGCCCTCCCGACTGGCCCCAGGGTGCGACAGGGAGGAATGGAGCATCAGGAAGAGGCATGGAGGCGGAGGACACTTGCCCCGCAGACGCAGGAGACAGTCAGGGGCTTGCACAGCCAGGCGGCGGCCCGCCGCAGGCGGCGGAATCCTCCTTCGACGCGAGGCAGCGACGAGCCAAGCATCAGGAGGGGAAAAACACACACAGACACAATGAATCGTCGATCGCCCAGAAAATATAGCAAACTGTGGCAAGTGGGGGGGAAGACGGAAGCCCAGAAAATATGGGAAAATCTGGGGAGTCTGGTTATCTGTGTCTAGTTATTTCTGTATCTTTGGGCCCTTTGAAAGCACCGAAACCCGCCGCCGGCCCTGCGCAGCCAGGGAGGTCCCGGCGCCCCGCGCCCCGCTGCGACGGCGCCCCAGGGGCCGCAGGCCCGCGCAGGCGCCTTCCGCGCTCGACGCCGTCGGGAGCTGGGGGGGAAGGTGCATCCGCGGCGCCGATCTTCTGGCTGGGCATCGCTCGGACGTCCATTCCCTGTGTTTTTGTTCGGTTTTGTGCGTGGTTTTTTCGTCAAATGATCAAGGATGCTCCTCGATGGCCCTCGCCGAAGAAAAAATGCACACGTCCGAGCGATGCCAAGTCCTTCGACGCGAGGCAGCGACGGGCCAAGCACCGGGAGCTGGGGGGGGATGTGCATCCGCGGGCGCCGATCTTCTTAAAGTCGGAAGCAGCAAGTCGGAAGGCGCTGAGAGTACTTTTGGGCTTCCGCCCGCCCCTGGAAGAGGCGGGAGGAGAGAACACCACTCGACTCCCTAAAAGCAGGGAGGCGCCTGAAGTAGAGTTGGACTTGGGCATCAAACAAACACTTACTTTCAACGACCGACGGGCAACACCGAACAAGGGAAATCCACTCCCCGGCGCGAGGGCCGTGGCGTGTAAAATGAAGGGGCCCAGGGACACACAAATAAATACACACAAATCACCAGATTCCCCCATATGTTCCCCTATTTTCTTGGTTTCTGTCTTCCCCCCCACTTACCCTATTTCCCCATGTTTTCCTAGGAATCGACGATGAATTGTGTCTGTGTGTGTTTTCCCCTCCTGCCTTTTGGAGCAGGGACCGACCGTCCCGGCGTTCCTAGAGTCCTACCACGACATGTTCTTAGAACCGAACAAAACTTCGAATAGCAAAAACGATGTCTCAGAACATAAACCTGATGCGCTGAAACAAGACAGCATCGGCCAAGCATGTTCTAAGAACATTTCGTGGAGACCACAGAGGGTGCTTAGAACAGTGTTTGGTAGGGCTATAGGCACGCTGGGACGCTTCGCCACTGCTCGATCTTTCTCCTTGACTTGCAGCGCGCTCTCCTGCGCTGACCGAAAGCAAGCGCCGCCGCTGGGCGCCCGCGGCGGCGGGCAGCCCCGCCCCCTCCACGTCCACTGGCTGCATGCAAAAGGGCGCCCCCGGGCGGGATTATTGCTGCCGGGGGGGACGTGCGAGCGGACAGCATGATTCCACTGTGGGGCAAGAGTGGCCCTGGGCAAGGGTGGCCTGTGGTGGCAGGAGTGGCCCTAGGCGTGGCCATAGGCGAGAGCGACCATCGGCGAGGGTGGCCTTTGACGCGAGGCTTCAGGGGACCACAGGGCGGGCCCAGATCCAGACGCGCATGCCCGTGCTGGTGGGGGGGGGCAAGCGGGCTCTCACCCAAAGGTCTCTCCGGCGAACGGCCCTTCCGGCTCCGAACCCCGGACATCGTGGGCGTTATGTCTGCGGCTGGCCCGCGAGAGTGCCGGACACGGTCACAGGACGCGCGAGACGCACTTGAGCTCCCCCGGCCCACGCCTCTCGCGGATGCTGCTTTGTATGCGGTCAAGGCTACGCTTAAACTTCGCATATGACCAAAAGCCGAGCGCGGCTGCCGATTTTTTGGCACGTGCTTCCACTGCGCACCCTTGCGCCGGCGCCCGTCGATCCCACCCTGGGCCCGTCTCCAGGAGTCTGCACCAGCCACGCGATCCAGATAATGATGACGGGAGGAGGTGGCTGAGGAGGGGGAGGAGGAGGAGGAGGAGGAGGAGGAGGAGGAGGAGGAGGAGGAGGAGGAGGAGGAGGAGGAGGAGGAGGAGGAGGAAGAGGTCGAGGACGAGGCCAGGACGAGGGGGAAAGGAGGAAGCGGATGTGGATGAGGATGAGGATAAGGATGAGGATGATGAGGAGGAGGAGGAGGAGGAGGAGGATCAGGACGGAGACGACGAAGAAGACGAGGAGGAGGACGACGAGGATGACGAGGCAGGAGATAGGAAGAAGACGGGGATCGACGGGGGGGTGCTCCTCCTGCCTTTCCCTCTCCTCATCTTTCTCCTCCTCCTTCATCTCTCTTCCTTCTAAATGACTCCTCCCTGTCGCAGCCCCAGACGTGTCGTTGGGGCGGGCCAGGCGCTCCTCTGGAAAATCCCCCACCAATTATGGCCCCCCGAGACATGAAACCTGCATCAGCTTCACGGATGGAGGGCGGGTCGTCTTCAAAATGTGATTATCGCCTCAGCGCCGCGCACATTCGTCTGACAATGTCTTGAACAGTCTCGAGGATGGAGGACAGGTGATTTTCAACATGAGGCTCTGGCCTTAGCGCCGCGCGCGTTTGTCTTTGAAGCTTGCAGTTGGAATATGGCGAGCGGCTCCTGTTCAAAATGTGGCTCTCGCCTTGGCAACGCGCACATTCGACTTAACAACTTGCAGCAGTTTTGTACACGGAGGGTAGATGGTTTTCAAAATGTAGCTCTCGCCTTAGCGCCGCGCACGTTCGTTGTCAAAAGCTTGCGATATATTCACGGAGGGAGGGCGGATGGTTTTCAAAATGTAACTCTCGCCTTCGCGCCGCCCACATTAATCTTAAAAGTTCGCAGCCATTTCAAGGCTTTGCATGTTGAGGTCACAGGAAGTGCGTTCTGGTACGATTTCGAACTGCCAGAGCGCAGCAGTCACTTTGTTTCGCGAAGTCCAAGGAATGGTGATCTGTCGCGATTTAGGGCTGTCAGGATGGAAAAGAAACCTGACCGGCGGCGTTGCATTTCCGGGAATGGTGTTTTTGAACGATTGAGGAGTCACTGACGGCTGCCTTCTAATGGATCCCCGCAATGAAAATAAATTCTCATAGGGGCCTATGAAGAAGGAGCTTGGAGAAAGGGCGTATTGCAACATTGCTGATGCGTCTTAGGGTCAAACTGGTCCCCCTCCATCTCCTCCCCCCCTCCTCCCCCTCCTCCCCTCCTCCTCCTCCTCCTCATCATCATCATCTTGCTAATCATCATCACCATCATCGCCACCTCCACCACCAATATCGTCATCATCATCACCATCAGCATCATCATCAGCATCAGCATCAGCATCATAATCATCATCGTCACCATCACCATTATTGTCATCAACATCGCCATCGTCCTCAATATCACCATCATCGGCGTCATCACCATCACCATCAGCAACATCTTCGTCATCACTACAATCATCGACATCGTTATCATTATCTGCATCATCCTCATCACCAACATCATCCTCAACATCATCCTCACCAGCGTCATCACCATCATCATCAGCATCATGATCACCATCATCCTACTTATCATCGTTATCATTATCAGCATCCTCACCATCACCATCATCATCACAATCACCATCATAATCAGAATCGGCATCATCTTCATCACAATCACCATCATCATCAGCATCAGCGTCATCAGCGTAATCATGATCAACATCATGAACAGCTTCATCTTCTGCATCATTATCACCATTAGCCGCATCATCATCATCACCATCACCATCACAATCACCATAAACCATCTTCACGAAAATGATCACCATCATCATCAGCATCAGCATCACTATTATTATCAACATCATCAACAACATCACCATCACCATCACCGTGACGATAATAACTGTCAGCATCATAGTCATCACCATCACCATCGACATCATCATCATCATCATTATCATCATCAACGTCGTCATGATCATCACCATCATCATCATCATCAGCATCATCATCAGCATCATCATCATAATCGGCATCGCCATCATCATTATAATCATCACCATCAGAACCGTTGTCATCATCATCATCAGCAGCAGCATTATCATCAGCACCATCATTATTCTCCCCATCAACATCATCATCAGCATGACCATCGTCATCGTTATCGTCATCGCCATCGTAATCTCCATGGTCATCATCATCATCATCATCATCAGCATCATCATCATCATCATCATCATCATCGTCATCATCATCATCATCATCATCACCAACATTCATCCATCTCTCTTGCGGCTGCTGCTTCTGCTCCTGCTCCTCCTCCTGCTCCTCCTCCTGCTCCTCCTCCTCCTCCTCCCTCTCTCCTCGAGCAAGCAGGCAAGACGGGGGAGATGGGAAACGAGGTCGATCAACAACCTCGTCAGTCAAAGAAAACCGGCCCTCCCCCTGGAAGAGGGTACCTCGGTCAGAGGAGCGGCGACAGTCAAAAACAGAAAAAAGAGCAGCATGCCCGTGAGGCCCGTGGAGGCTGCTCGGTTCACTTCTGGGTCTGGCTGGAACTTCTGCAGCTGTCCACTGCTGCTGAGCACTACCGTCAGGGTATCCCACAGCGGTTCGGGTCGTGACGACCCTGGTGATGGTTTCTGGCACTGCGTAAATCGTTCAACCTTGAACGATCGGCGGCTTCTCGATCGCAAGATCGCTCCATGTTGGCCGATTATGGGCCGCCGCCGGCATTCAACCTTGAACGCCCACGCTTGGGTCGCCGCAGCGTCGAAATGACACGAACCTGCCATACGCAGGAGGACGCCAACAGTACGCCTGCACCGGTCCTGGCATGACCAGGACTGGCATAGGCGCATAGGTGGTGCCCTCTGCCTGCAGCTCTTCCGCCTCGGCCCCGCCGGGCGGGCCCTCGATCTCGCTGTGGCCGATGGGCCGAGCAGGGGAGTATAGCCTGCGCGGGCCACCTGAAGGGGCGGTGGCCGCTGCCGAGCAACTGCGAGTCTGAGCGGGCTGGACCCTCCGGGCGACCCAGAGGATTGCCCTCCTACTTCTCCTTCCTCCACAGGCTCCTCCCTCCTCCTCCCTCGTCCTCCCCCTCCGCTCCTTTTTCCTCACGAGTAACTCTTCCCTATCGCAGCCCCAGACGTGTGGGTAAGGCGGACCGGGCGTTTCACCTGCAACTTCCTCACTATTTGTGATCCTGAAGCTTGATATGTGCAACAGTTTCACGGATGGAGGGCAGGTGGTTTTCAAAATGTGGATCTCGCCTTCGCGCCGCGCACATTCGTCTTAGAAACTTGCAACAGCTTCAAGGATGGAGGGCGGGAAGTAGCCAAAATGCGGTTTTTGCCTAAGCGCTGCACGCATGATTGTTAAACGTTTGGAAAACTTTCACGAAAGGAGGGCGGGTGCTTTTTTACTTGGAGCTCCCGCCTGAGCGCCGCGCGCATTCGTCTTCAAAGGTTGTAGCGATTTCGAAGATTCGCATGGTTACGATCCCAGGAACCGTTTTCTGACACGACATTGGATTGCCAGGACGCGACAGTCACGTCAATCCGCGGTGCTGAAGTCCCTGGAACGGCGTCCTGGAAAGATTTAGGAATGCCAGGCCGCAACAATCACGTTGATTCGCGGCGCTGAGGTCCCAAGGATTATGCTTTGGCACGATCGACGAGTTCCAGACGGTTGTCATTCAATGGGGCATATCCGACGATGAAAACAACATCTTGCAGGGACCCATAATTCGAGAACGTGGAGGGAGGTTTTATTGTAGCATCGTTGATGCGCCTTCCAACTCCTTTTCCTCCACATCCTCCTCCCTCCTCCTCCCTCCCTCCCTCCTCCTCCTCCTCCTCCTCCTCCTCCTCCTCCTCCTCCTCCTCCTCCTCCTCCTCCTCCTCCTCCTCCTCCTCCTCCTCCTCCTCCTCCTCCTCCCGTTCCTCCTGTTGGATTCCTCCGCCCACCTCCATCCTTTCATCCCTTCTCTTCTTCCCTCCTTCTCTCTTCCTCGCTCTTCTCATCCTCCTCCTGCCGCCTACCGCCTGCCTCTTCCGCCCACCTCCTCCTTCTCTTCCTCCTCCTCCACCTCCTTCTCACCATCATCAGCATCATCATCATCATCATCATCATCATCATCCTCATCATCATCAGCATCATCATCATCTTCATCATCATCAGCAGCAGCATCACCATCATCAGCATCATCAGCAACACCACCATCATCATAATCAGCCTCATCAGCATCACCAGTACCATCATCATGATCAGAATCGCCATCATCATCGGCATCAGCATCACCATCGTCATCATCATCATCAGCAGCAGCATCATCATCATCATCATCATCATCATCATCTTCACCATCATCACCATCATCATCATCATCATCATCATCATCATCATCATCATCATCAGCATCACCATCACCATCATCATCATCACCAGCATCATCAGCATCCTCATCAGCAGCATCACCATGATCCGTATCATCATCACCATCATCATCATCATCATCATCATCATCAGCGTTACTATCAGCAGCATCATCCTCATGATCTCCATCGTCGTCATCATCATGATCATCATCATCTTCAGCATCATCAGTATCAGCATCATCATCGTCACCATCATCACATCCCCATCATCATCATCATCATCATCATCATCATCATCATCATCATCATCATCATCATCATCATCATCATCATCATCATCGCCATCATCATCATCATTATCATCATCAGCAGCAGCCGCAGCACCATAATCATCACCATCGCCATTTTCAGCATCACCATCAGCATCATCATCACCATCGTCATCATAATGATCAGCACCGCCATCATAATCATCATCACCATTATCATCATCAACATCATCATCATCATCATCATCATCATCATCTTCAACAGCATCATCACCATCATCATCACCATCACCATCATCATCTTAATCACCATCATCCTCGTCATCAGCCGCCCCCATCCTCCTTCCGCCTCCCTCCTCCTCGGTTGCCTTCCGGTTGTACCTGCCAGGGAGATTGTCCGTCTGCACTTCCTCCCAGCTGCTCGCCTGCGCTGGCTGCCGTCGTCGCCGCAGCCGTCATCTTCGCAGCTTCGCAGGAGGAGGACGAGGATTGGCAGTGTATACATAAGCATGTAGCTGAGCAGTATGTATATATGCCTGTAGCAGTATAAGTGCATGCATGCATGCATGTGCTGATGTATATATAATACATATCGTCCATGGCGCCGTGCCAATGTGCATATGTATATACATATGCCAAGCAGATACGCAAACGTAAACACATGTGCGAGCGTGCCGCTGTGCATATGAATATATATATATATACATATATATATATATATATACATATAGATACACGTGTCTCCATGTATGTGCCCGTCTCTCTGCCTCTCAGCATGCTTATGTATGTCGGTGCCGTGTAGGTAGGTACACTATATATACATATATGTATATATATATATGTGTGTATCGCGTCCTGTTTAATCAATGGCCGAACTAAACTAACAAAGCCTGCACCTCTACAATACACAACAGCGTCACATTACATGATGCAGCACCGCATGTGGGGGCAATTAAGTGCCGACCTTCCCCTCCCAGGGAATCCAAAGTTCGACGGGCTGGCATCCAACAAAACTGCGCTCCAAAGAAAGCCAGGGGGAGAAAGGGCGAAGGGAAGCGAGGGAAGGAGAAAGGGACGAGCGACAGAATCAAAAGGGCTCACGAATGGTCTCGGACTGCGAGCACTTCGGCCGATGTGGCCTACCGCCACTCAAGCGATGCGGGATGCCATGCTCAATGCACCGCTCCAACGCTCTGGAGCCCCTCCCGCGCAGTGCGTCCGCACTCGGCCCAATCCGAACCGCGCATGGCGATCGTCGAGCCATTGGGGGCCCCGGCTGCGAAGCGCCTCGGCGGCTGAGAGGCCACCGTGACGCTGGAGGTGGCACTTCCAGCTGATGGCGGCATTCACTCCCATGCCCCCCAGCGTTCCCAAATGTGACGCTGCCCTGCATGATCCCGCGGGGTGCGTCACCGCGAGGTCTCTTCGCCCTCGCGCCTGGGCAGGGCCTTGATCCTGCTGGTCATTGTCTTCTGCACCACGTCTACGTTATCGACCATCATTTTGTGAGGACCCACTGGCCGGCGTAGAATTGCAGAATGCTGCATGCGCGGCAATCCAACCACCACATCTTCCTCCTCCTCCTCCTCCTCCTCCTCCTCCTCCTTCTCCTCCTCGCCTCCTCCTCTTCCTCCACTTCCTCCTCCTCCTCTTCCTCCTCCTCCTCCTCCTCCTCCTCCTCCTCCTCCTCCTCCTCCTCCCCCTCCCCCTCCCCCTCCCCATCCCCATCCCTCTCATTATCCTTCCCCGCCCCCCTCCCCTTCCCTGCCTCCTCCTCCACCTCCACGCCCCCACCATGCGTGCAGTAGTCGTGCTTCCGAGTGCGGCGAGCCTCGGCCATGAGTGCGCTCCCCGAACCTAGAATCTGAGGAGGCCCGGATTTCAGAGCCCTCCCGAGCCCAAACCAGTCCTTCTTTCGGCGTCTTGGCTGCATCCTCCTCCTCTGAGGGAGAACGATAATAGGGGGAGCTGGCTCAGAAGGGGGAAGCATGGATGAAGGGGTCCTGGGACACACAAATAAATGCACACAAATAGCAGGATTCCCCATATATGTTCCCATATGTTCTGGGTATTTGTCTTCCCCCCACTTCCCATATTTTCCCATACTCTCCTGGGGATCGACGGTTCATGGTGTCTGCATGTTTGTTTCCCCTCCTGAGCTGCATCCTCCTCCTCTGAGGGGGAAACGATAATAGGGGGAACTGGCCCAGAGGGGGAAAAGTGGACCTGGAATCGGCGATGCGTCGCCGATGGATCGGCGGCAGGCCACCGATCAAGGAACCGCACGCTCGTGGGCGGAGCATGCTGTCGGGCGGCATATCGGCGATGCATGGGCAGTCGGGGTCGGTGCATCCCCCTCTGAGCCCATCCCCCCCTGACGCTGCCCGGCAGTTTTTGGATCATCCGCCACCGTGCCGCGGGCACGGGGTGGGCGAGTCCTCGGAGGTCCCGTGCCTCTTCCCCCAAGCCTCAGCCCTCACTCCTGAAGAATCTTCGAAGGGGCCTGGACCCCAAATTCACACACCTCCTTGGGTACTCCGCGGTTCCCCTGGGCTCCCCCGCGGCTTCCCGCATGACTTGTTCGGGCCCAAGAGGGCCCCAAGACGGGAACAGAGGGCCACGAGAGGCCCCCAAGACGGTCCAAGAGGGCCCCGAGCCGCCCAAAGATCGCACCAAGACGCCGAAGATGGTCCCAAGACAGCCCAATAGGCCTCGGAGACGCCCCAAGAGAGCTCCTAGAGCCTTCCCAAGAGGCCCCCGAGACGCCAACATCGTTAATGCTTCCATAAACGTTTCAATGATCTTACGGTCCTCGACGTTTCCAGCTCCCGACGCTCCAAGACGGCCCAAGTGGTCTGATGTTCCAACCTACTTTAGCCTTGATAACCAGAAAGAATTTCGAGCACCAGGAAAATACCGAAATTGCAGGGTTTTCACGAATCGGGCCCTGGAAGGCGATACTCGTTCGACACTGTTTCGACATTTTTCTGGGCGCTCAAAATGGCTCAAGGTGGCCTCCAAGTTCGCTGAAGATGGTCCAACATGGCCTCCAAGATGGCCTAAGAACGTCCAAGATGCCTCCAGGTCCGCCCAAGACGCCTCCCAGACGGCCCAAGATGGCCTCAAGATGACGGCAGATGGCCCTAGAGGCCCCCAAAAGGCCTCCAAGACGGCCCAAGAGGCCCCTAAGAGGGCCTTCAGAAGGCCCTAAGAGGCCTCCAGAGGCCAAAGAGGCCAACATAATTGTTTGTCCTAAGGTTTTTGAAGAAGTTTGGCATTTGCTTCTGTCCGGCCTTCCAACGGCCCGGGACGGCCCAAAAGCCTCAAACGATCGCCCCAAGATCGATCGTCCAAGAGACCTCCAAGATGCCCCCAGACCGGCCCAAGAGGCCTCCAAGACGGGCGGGCCCAAGAGGCCCAAAGAGGCATTCAAGACGCCCAAGATGGCCTCCAAGACGGCCTTGGAGCACCCCAAGAGGGCCCCAAGTCAGCCGAAAGAGGCCCCCTCAAAACTGCTTCCGACGGCGTCAGGCGGGCCAGGAGGCCATCAAGACGGCCAAAGAATGCTCTAAGACGGCCCAAGAGGCCCCAAGAGGTCTCCAAGACGGCCAAAGAGGGCGCCAAGAGGCCTCCAGGAAGGCACAACGAGGCCAAACTGATTGATTATCCAAAGGTTTCTGAACGATTTGACATATGCTTCTGTTCGGCCTTCCGACAACCCGAGACGGCCCAAGAGCCCCCAAAGAACGCCCCAAGATCGCCCAAGAGGCCTCCAAGATGCTCCCAGAACGGCCCATGAGGCCCCCAAGACGGCCCCAAGAGGGCCCCAGGACGGCCCAAGATGGCCTCCAAAACGCCCAAGATGGCCTCCAAGACGGCCCTGGAGCACCACAAGAGGGCCCTAAGTCGGCCCAGAGAGGTCCCCAAGACGGCTTCCGACGGCGTCAGACGGGCCAGGAGCCCACCAAGACGGCCCAAGATGGCTCCAAGATGGCCCAAGACGGCCTAAGAGGCCCCCAAGAGGTCTCCAAGATGGCCCAAGAGGCCCCTAAGAGAGCATCCAGGAAGGCCCGAAAAGGCCAACATAATTGTTTGTCCCAACGTTGTTGAAGGATTTTGGCATGTGCTTCTGTTCGACCTTCCGACGACCCGAGACGGCCCAAGAGCCCCCCGAATGGCCCCCGAAATGGCCTTCCGACGGCCCGAGAGGCCACCAAGAGGCCCCCAGGAGGGCCCCAAGGTGGCCCCAAGACGGCCCAAGAGGCCTCCAAGACGCCCAAGATGGCCTCTAAGACGGCCCTGGAACGCTCAAAGAGGTCCCCAAGACACGGCTGCCGACGGCGTCAGACGAGCCACGAATGCTTTAAGACGGCCACCGAAGCTTCCGAGAAGCCCCCAAAGGCCCTCAAGAGGCCCAAGGAGGCCCCAAAGATGCCTCCAAGAGGCACCCAGGAGGCTCCAAGGAGGCCCAAAGCATGACGCCAGTGGCTCCCAAGATGCCCCCTCCTCCTCCTCCTCGTCCTCCTCCTCGTCCTCCTCCTCCTCCTCCTGGTCTTCCCCGCCGTCCTCCCCAAAATGTTTATGTTCCCCGAAGGGTTTCCACAACGGCTGGGGGAACACATGATCCGATAGCTGGGCAGAGCTCTTGCCACAACGCTCGGCCACATGGGCGATTCCAACAGGCAGGGGGCGGCGGTGATTCGCCGTTGGCGTCTTCGATACGTAACTCGGCCCACTCGCGGCCGTTCGGGACGACTCGGGCACCCCTGCAAAGCCCTCGGCGAGGAGCAGCCGCTGGAAGGATGGAGACGCCGCCGAGAGCCGACGAAAACCTGAGGACAGGCCTGGCGACTCCCTCCCCCCATCCCCAGACGGCGGTGCGGTGAAGCGGGCCTGCAGGGCGCCCGCCCACGCGCAGTCGTCGCACATGCCGGGGGTGCTGTCGTAGCCGGCGGGGCTGTCACTCGGCGAGCACCTCGCGGCTCGGCCGCCGGCGGCCCTCGGCGGCGGCTCTTCGGCAGCGGCCCTCGGTGGTGGCCCTCGGCGGCAGCTTTTTGGCAGCCCTCGGCCGGCTTTCGTCGCATGCGCGGGAGCGGCGACGGCGACGGTGTCGGCGGCGACGGCGGCGATGGAGAAGGCGGCCAGCGGAGGCGGCAGCGGTGTGGCCGATGGCTAATCCGCAGCACGTGTGGACGACGACGACGACGACGACAACGACGACGGCGACGGCGACTGCGACGGCGACGGCGACGGCGACGGCGTCCACGAAGAGGACGGCGACGGTGGCGGCACGGTCATCACGAAGATGTGGAGGGGGGGATGAGGAGGAGGAGGAGGAGGAGGAGGAGGAGGAGGAGGAGGAGGAGGAGGAGGAGGAGGAGGAGGAGGAGGAGGAGGAGGAGGGGGAGGAGGAGGAGGAGGAGGAGGAGGAGGAGGAGGAGGAGGGAGGGGGAGGAGGAGGAGGAGGAGGAGGAGGGGGAGGAGGAGGAGGAGGAGGAGGAGGAGGAGGAGGAGATCTATTTTTCTGGGCCTTCAGGGGACACCTGGTCGCCGCGGCTGGATGCGGCTCGGGACACGGGTCGGGATGGCTGCCGAGGCGGGTCCAGGGACCAGCCTTGCACGGATCGTGTTGTCGACGGGGGCGGGTCTGCCGCTCCGACCGCGCTGAGCGTCCGCCAGTGCTGCGACCAAAAAGTTGTCGACCTGGGTGGAGGTGGGGCGGAGGGAGAGGAGGGGAAGATTGGGGAGGGAGGAGGAGAGTGGAGGAGGACAGGCTCCGAAGCCTGCACATCGTAAGGCTACAACACATGTATCTCCCTCCCCTTCTCCATCCGTCCATCCATTCCTCTATACCGCTGTCCATGCCTCTGTCACCCTGTACACATTTCTCGGTATCTGTCTTCTCGCCTTCTTTGTCATGGCACACCTCCTTCTCCCCCTCCTCCGCCTCCCCCATCCTCCTCGGCTTCCCGCTGCCTCTGCCCGCATGCCCTCACACCTTCTCCCGAGGAGGGAAGGAAGAGGTGCCCGGTGAGACGCCAGGAAGCACCACGTGCCAGACCGACAGTCCGAGTTGGTGGTGCACGTGGGGCTCAGTGACTCCAGGCCTGAGTATCTGCTGATCGCGCGATGCTTGATCGCCAAGCACTATGTTCGGGTAATGAGGTGATCGCGATCACGGTGACTGGCCTGCGAACGTTGCGATGAGCGCGGCGATCAGAGCTCCTCGGATTCCTCATGACTCCTTCTCGCCCCAGACGAGGAGAAGAGGGGGAAGGCGTGGGGACAAGGAGGGGAGATGAGCAAGAACAAGAAGGAGGAACGAGGCGGAAGGACGAGCAGGGCGGGGTGCAGGAGGGGGAGAGCGGGAGGGCAAGAGGAAGAGAGGCAGAGAGGAGGAGCAGCAGCAGCAGCAGCAGCAGCAGGAGCTCGAGGCGGGAATCGGAGGGGGACAAGAGAGGGGGAGATGCGAGAAGGGAGGCCAGACGCTAGGCTCCGGGCTGATGGCGTGGAGCAGGACGAACTGGACGACGAGGACCAGGATGGACGGCACCAGCGCAAGGCACGCACCACCGCACCTTGTTTGTTCCAGCCGCGCGCAATCGCCGCCTCGTCCAATTCCTTTTCCTCCACATCCTCCTCCCTCCTCCTCCCTCCCTCTTCCTCCTCCTCCTCCTCCTCCTCCTCCTCCTCCTCCTCCTCCTCCTCCTCCTCCTCCTCCTCCTCCTCCTCGTCATGATCATCACCACCACCATCACCATCACAATCGCCATCACCATCGCTATCGTCATCATTACCAGTATCATCATCACAATCATCACCACCAGCATCAGCATCAACATCACCATCACCATCACCATCACCATCACCATCATCATCATCATCATCAGCAGCAGCAGCAGCACCACCACCACCACCACCAGCAACAGCAGCAACAGCAGCAACAGCAGCAACAGCAGCAGCAGCATCGTGCCCGGAAGCTCCTGGGGGGCAGCCCGGGGCAACTTCGACGACCCCACCTGCTGCGCCCCTCCCTGAATCTGGCCCCGTGCCGCCGGAGGCGTGCTGTGGGCATAGGCTTCGGTCGGGCCTGTCCCCCTACAGGGGGATTTTGGACGGAACATTAGGAATACGCAGAAGATGCTCACAAGTAAAACAGTCAAAACAAAAATTTGGAAGAGTCCCCCTGCAGAGGGACAGGCCCGACTTACGCGTATGCCCAGGGTCGCGGCCGACTTCGCGGCGCGCACGGCGCTCAGACGCCCTACGCAAGGCGCGACCTGCTCGGCGACCTGCGGCCCGCGCGACCTCCATCGCCAGCCGAACCAGCGGGCAGCGTCTGGATCGGTCCCTGCGGGGCCTTCGTTCCGCCAGCCCTGGTGTGGTGGTTCCTGTCCACCGTGCCATCGTCGTCTGCGATAGCGCTCTGGCATGGCCAATGCTCTCGTGGCGAGTTTGCGAAAGTGGCATGTGTTGTCGCCTCCACTGGGGCGCGTGCGGGTCGTTGGGCCGCCTCCTCGATCGTTTCGTTCAGTCGATGCGCACGGCGCTCGATCCGAGCTCGGCCCCGATCATCCTCCTCCTCATCATCATCATTACCATCATCATCGTCTCCATCGTCATCATCAGCAGCATGCGGTCTTAAGAGCCAGGGACGGATAATCATATCTTACCACGGATACAATATTCCCATGGTCATCGCACAATCATCGCGGTGACCGGTGAGCCCTGAATGCCCATGAGCTGCTACAGGAAACCAGAAAGCTGTTGCCTCCATGCTGGACCACTTCCCCCCGCTGCCTTTCTTCTCGAGCCAGACAAAGGGCTACAGGATTCGGGTTCACCCCCGCAAGTTTCAGATCCTCCCCCAAAAAGTGTTTGCACTCAGGGGTTTTACTTGGCTCAACCATCTCGGGGCGAGTGGTGGCCTTTGCGGGCGGTGCCGCCCGTCGCCGTCGCCGCCGTGGCCGTCGCTGCCGCTCGGGGCGAGTGGCGGCTGTTGCGGGCGGTGCCGCCCGTCGCCGTTGCCGCCGTCGCCGTCGCCGCCGCTCGGGGCGAGTGGCGGCTGTTGCGGGCGGTGCCGCCCGTCGCCGCCGTCGCCGTCGCATAGACTGCGCCACATGGTTTGCCCCGCGCAGATTGGCACCGCGTAGAGTCTCCTTCTTTTAAAAAAAGAACAGATTGTACCCGCCCTCCCCCGGGATTATCCGCACCCCTTCTCGCATTGTAATTTACATAAGATTCTGCCCCATCGTCCATCGTAAATATGAACCCAGACCATCCCAGCCCAACCGGTATCGACACCCCCCGTCATCCTCTCCAAAAACATATTACGCGCGCGCCCGTTTGCACAAAAAACAGCAGTTCTTGAATAATCCCCTGCAACAGATGGGACGAAGTGCACACGCGCGCGTCGTCGCGTGCGCATGCCGAAATCTGTCGAAAACTCTCGGTGTCGTAAGGATGTCAAAATCGAATGTCCAAACAACTGGTCTCGCAACGTTCTTTTATTTCTTTACCTATACGACCACCCTTCGGGTGATAAGGAGGTTCGGGGGGGGAGGAACCAACGTCTCACTCGATCGGTCTCACTATCGATCTCACTATCGATCTCAGTATCGGTCTCGCTCGATCGATCTCCCTCGATCGATCTCACAATCGATCTCACTCGATCTATCTCACAATTGATTTGACTATCGATCTCACAATCGATCTCACAATCGATCTCACAATCGATATCACATTCGGTCTCACTATCGATTTCACTATCGATATCACAACCGCTCTCACAATCAACGTCATCATCATCATCATCATCAACAACAACATCAACATCAACATCATCATCACCAACATCATCATAATCGGGACACCGTCCTCATCATCAACACCAACATCATCATCATCATCATCATCATCATCATCATCATCATCACGGTCATCAACATCATCGGGACACCACCATCATCATCATCACCATCATCACAATCATCATCATCAACATCATCATCATCAGCAGCATCGGGACACAGTCATCGTCATCATCATCATCATCAGCAGCATCATCATCGGGATCACCATCATGATCATCGTTAGCATCATCATCATCATCATCATCATCATCATCATCATCGGAACACCATCATCATCATCTCATCCTCATCATCGACATCATCATCATCATCATCAGCATCATCAACATCATCATCAGCATCATCATCATCGTCGTCATCATCGGGGCACCATCATCATCATCATTAACAACATCAGCATCAACATCATCATCATCACCATCGGGACGCCATCATCATCAACATCATCACAATCACCATCAGAATAATCATCATCATCGGGACGCCATAATCATCATCAACCTCATCATGATCAACATCATCATCATCGGGGCACCATCATAATCAGCATCATGAACATCAGCATCATCATACTCATCACCATCGGGACACCATCATCGTCATCATCATGATCATCAACATAATCATCATGATCATCATCACCCTCATCATCGGGACACCATCAGCATCATCATCATCATCATCGTCATCATCATCATCATCGACATCATCATCATCATCATCATCATCATCATCATCATCATCATCATCATCATCATCATCATCATCATCATCATCGGGACACCATCATCATCATATCATCATCATCATCATCATCATCATCATCATCATCATCATCATCATCGTCCTCATCATCATCATCAGCAGCATCACCATCATCATCGACGTCGTCATCATCATCATCAGCATCACCATCATCATCATCATCATCATCATCATCATCATCATCATCATCATCATCATCATCATCATCGCGGGACACCGGCGGGACACCGCGGGGCACCGCGGGACACCGCGGGACTTTCGCGGGACACCGGGGCGGGACACCGCGGGCCACCGGCCGACCAGAAGGGAATCATTTGGTCCGGCCGCGCCTCAGCCACACGGGACTTTCGCGGGACACCAGCGGGACACCGCGGGCTACCGGCCGCCCAGTGGAGAATCATTTGGTCCGGCCGCGCCTCAGCCACAGGAGACTTTCTCTCGCCCGCCCACGCAGCTTCGCCTCGCCCGCACGCACGGCACGCACGAACACGAAACCGAAATCGATTTCCCGGTAGGGGGGCTCTCCGTTCCACTTCGATCTCACCCCCTCACCTCCGATATACATATATATATATATATATATATATATATATATATATCTAGAAGACTGCAGTGACGCTTCGCGCCATGCACCTTAGTCCTTGAAGTTTGGTATGCAGGCGGAGTAGCAGAAAGGCCAAGCCGACAATTTAGCGATAACTCCTTGTTGCCTGTGCCGGCATCGCCGCTATAATAATGTGATTCGTTATCCTTCCTCCATGCTTCTTTTTCCTCATGTTCGCCATACCCTGCGCATTTTCCCCATCCTCCTCAGCTCTTTTTTGCGGAGCCTCATCATTGGAGAGCCCCTGGGGGCCTCGCAAAAGTTGTTTCAGGCTTTCTTAAGGCATTCTGGAGGCCTCCTGGGCGTATTCTTGGGGCCCGTGAAGGGTTCCTCGGGCCACCATGCCTCCAACCGCGGTCTCCTTGAACGACCGGGTCACGATTTGGAATGCTTCGGAGGGTGTTTTAGGGGCAATCTTGGGCCGCCATGGGGCTCTCTGAAGGCCATCGTGGACCCGTGCCGTGCCGTTTTGGGGCTCTTTTGGACTGCCTGGAAGCCCTTTCGGATGGTTGTGGGGCGGTTCTGGAGCCTCACAGGCGGCTTCGGACGCCCAGAAGACCACCGTCTTGGAGCGTCGTGAAGCCGAAATTATCCCAGTGCGACCCTACCTAGGAGTTGGAACCCCTAGGAAAGCAGCATGAGTAGTAACAGTAACGCTAAGCTAAAGCTAAGCTAAAGCTAAGCTAAAGCTAAGCTAAAGCTAAGCTAAAGCTAAACCACAGCTGAGCTAAAGCTAAGCTAAAGCTAAGCTAAAGCTAAGCTAAAGCTAAGCTAAAGCTAAGCTAAAGCTGAGCAACAGCTAAGCTAAAGCTAAGCTACAGCTAAGCTAAAGATAAGCTAAAGCTAAGCTAAAGCTAAGCTAAAGCTAAGCTAAAGCTAAGCTAAAGCTAAGCTACAGCTAAGCTCAAGCTAAGCTAAAGCTCAGCTAAAGCTGGGCAACAGCTAAGCTAAAGCTAAGCTAAAGCTAAGCTAAAGATAAGCTAAAGCTAAGCTAAAGCTAAGATAAAGCTAAGCTACAGCTAAGCTAAAGCTAAGCTAAAGCTAAGCTACAGCTAAGCTCGAGCTAAGCTCAAGCTAAGCTCAAGCTAAGCTAAAGCTAAGCTAAAGCTAAGCTAAACGCTGAGCGAAAAGCTAAGCGAAACGCTAAGCTAAAGCTAAGCTACAGCTAAGCTAAAGCTAAGCGAAAGCTAAGCTAAAGCTAAAGCTAAAGCTAAAGCTAAAGTTAAAGCTCCCAGGGGACCTGGGGGAACCGCGGGGCGGGGACCGGGGGAACCGCCCGGGGCGTGTAGCACTGCCCGGCCCCTTTAAGCTAAGAGAGTAAGAACCCTTCTAGGCA